CACACAAACCCCCCCACCCCGAAACCAAAGTTTCTCAGCGGATTTGGGCTGTACTCAGCAAGTGCAGTACAGCCCCGAAGTCAAAACAAAAAAAAAATCAGAGGAAGACTGTTTTCTGAGCCGTCGGCTACCGCCGACCGGTCAGCCCCGATCGGTCGGTACAATACGGTCGGGCGTCGGCCCGATCGGTTGGCGGGGATGCAACCCTGCCGGGATTGATATTGAAACGGTTTTCACCTTTACGGTAGCAGATGCAAATCCCAGGGCTCGATCCCCAGACCTTGCCCTTACCCGTGTACAGTATCAGTTGCCCTGTGTGTGTTTGAACCCGCGACCTGTGTCTCACAGGTCGCCTGTCTGATGTTGTAGGGTAGTGGGGCTGTCGGTTTTTGAACCGTAGGTCGGTCAGGTAGGGCCCGTAGCTGTGTAGGGGTCATAGCTGTTGCAATTCTGAAAGGTCAAGGTCGTAGCTGCTACTCCTGAGAGGTCGAGTCGTAGCTGCTATAGTCCCGAAAGGCCAAGTCTACAGACTTCCGGAAGGTCCGGAAGTGGCCTTTCAATAGCTGTTCACGTTAGGCCAGAGGCAAGTGGGCAAGTGGGCAGTTCAGCAGGTACCATGTGGGATTGTGTGCACCATGGGCCCGGTGGAAAGGAGCAGACCAGCAACCAATAAAGTATAAATCAAGAGGCAGCGTCCAGCCATTCATTCATTCTGCTGTAAGCCATGCGGAAGCGCTGCCCGAGCATCTTCTGCGAGGTGGTCTGCAGATGCCCAAAGTAGAAGTGGGCTGCGAGGGAGACGGAGTGGCCATCGCCGCTAGTAGACAGGAGGTAGAAGGCAGCCATAGCTGCCATAGGTTAGAGTTAGTCTGTAGCAACTGTGTGCGGGAGTGTGCGGTGAGGTGTGAGCATGTGTGGGACATCCAAGGAGATCTAGTGTCGCATACCGTAACGGTGCAGACCAGATCAAGAACCGACCTCTCTCGCATAGTAAAGGATAGCACAGCGGAAGGCTTAAATACCAATGATCCGAACAATCAATGTTGTAATGCAGACCAAACATACATCATCATCATTCCATGGTGGGAAGGGGCCTGGCACTCACACAGGAAGAATGCGCTAGTCCCCAACCATACACAGACGAAGAAGAGGGGGGTTAGACGAAGAGGAGGGGAAGATGGGAATGTTGCCAACACCAAGTCTTCTGTACAGGTCCCAAATAATCCCTCGCCAAATGTCTGAATCCCAATGTCGAGTCTGGATCCAATATCGTCAAGTCCCAAAGTCACCCGTCTCTCTCTCTCGTAGTTTGCAGATACTGAGAAGTCAGGTAGCGAGAGGGTGAGGAAGAGATTGTGGACTTAGAAGAGGAAGACGTAGAACTCTCTCTCTCTCTCTCTCTGTCCGGTACTAACCTGTGAAGCTGGCGCCTTGTTGCAGGTACATCGAAGACGAAGCTGGTGCTATGGCGCCACGGGTAAGTCTCCCTGGCCTCCGCCAACCATCTCTCTCTCTCTCTCTCCAACGCTACTCTAGCTCCTACTAGCGACCAGCGCTGAAGACTACTGCTAACGCCTACTACTCCTGCAGCGCTCCTCCAGAGTGCTGCTGCCGAATCCTGAAGACTACCTCCTGCCTCCTGAACTGCACGTGAAGTTCCTGGGAAGTCCCTATGAACTACCTGCAGCCTGCAGGGCGGGCCAGTCTTATATAGTACTACTGGCCCGTCCAGGAGGCTGCTCTTGCCAATGCCAAAACGTGCCAGACCCTGGCCTTGAAGTTCAAACAAAGGTTGTCTGGAAAAACAGGCCCAAAATGGCCTGTGCTAAAACCCTGGTCTGGTGCCTAAGTTTCAGGGCAGGTCGATCTTATGAGGGCCTGAAAATGGCCCTCCGTTTCAGGCTGAAAAGACTCGGGGCCTGGAGGGCCCTGTTTTAGGCTGAACCGACACAGGGCCTGTAGCGTTTTCAGGCTTTCAGGCTGAAACGACACGGCCTGTAGGCCCTCGTTTTCAGGCTGAAAGGCTGAAACGACACAGGGCCTGTAGGGCCTTGTTTTCAGGCTTTTAGGCTGAAATCGACACAGGGCCCTGATTTTCTGTCTGGTCGGGCCTTGCAGGCCCGTGTGGCTGCGCAGTATGCCACATCTAGAGTAGCGTGCGTGTAAGTGTGTACTGAGGATACAGGTTGGAAGTGGGTTGTGAAGGCGCACAGTCGCCATAGCCAATTCAAAGCAAGTTGAATCTGAACTCCGTTCTCGGCCTTGATATCTCTGAGCTTTGTGTGTGGGCGCCTGGCGCCAGTGTGTTTACCATCTGCTTTCATGCATGCTGTGTGGTGAAGAAGTCGAGTCTGATTGCAATATTGACTGCCAGGGAAAATGTTATCGGTGTCATAATGCTACTGTGCAAGTCTGAGCAGTGAGAAACTCTGAAGCATGTATTCAAGCAGCAATTTCGTCCACCCCTTTGATATCTAACAAAATGAAGAACTTGCTGCTCTTGTTTTTTGTAAATGGGGACCCATCGATACTGGTGATTGGCCCAAATGTGCCCTGTGTGAGCTGGAATGACGTTTTTGGCATCTCAGCTCAGGAGGATGGAGCAGCTTGTGAAAAGGAACAGGAACGAAGTCTTCGTTCATGGCAAATCTTCTCAGAGAAATGCACCCAGCATGGTTAGATTAACGAGAGAAAAGGAGGTTTTTGGCACCATGGCTAGTGTCATGAAGACTGAAGAGGAGGCCATATTAAAGTGCTCAGGCTTGGCGAATCAAGGAATCCCTGTAGCGAAACCATCCGCTTGGACGGTGGGCAATTCCAATTTAGACTGCCAGATTCCTTCAGCCACCAAGGCTACAGCAGAGACACTCCCGACGTCGCTGGTGGATGCATATTGGGCGCTTCACGTATTTCTTGATGGCACTGATGGCTCTGATGTCCTCTTTGGCGACTGGGCCAACCCGTCTGTCAGCCCTTTGACTGCAGTTGATGTTGCAGTAACATCAGCCTCAGCAGCCGCCGAACTAGGCACTCAATCACAGCGGCTTGACAGATTGCAGGGAGACTTCTGCGCGTGCCAAGAAGACGGTTCTACCAACCTCCAAATGGCAGTTGGGATGGACTCTCAGTTGCAGGATGCTGAATGGTTCCTCAAGTCTGGGGACTCGAAGAGAAACGATGTGCACAACGACCGGCAGAATGTGTGTGACAGCATCCACTTTATCTCCCTGATGGGTGAGGGAAGTCAGGAGGAGCATCACAAGGTAAGCAATCTTCCATGCTGCATCACCAACCATGGATCTCTTCTTTTTTTGAAAAAACAAAAGAGGGCAACGGCCTTTAGATATCATCGTCAAACTGACCAGCCCCAGGTAATTCAGGAATTTCATTCATCTAGTTCAATTGGGATTTGAACTTAGGTCTGTGTTTCAACAGTCCATGGGTGTACCAACTGAGCCCAGCTCTCAATTTGTACATTGACCATTTGACAGACAAAGAGAATCAATCTCATTGATGAATCTGCTATTCAGCAACCCGCACCAAAGAGCCCACGCGTCTTTCGTAAGTGTGAAGCTCTTTGCAGCTCTTGGCATTTCCTGTCTGCGTTCTTGGTTTTTGCTCTTGCATGCTCTGGTTGCATGCCTGCATGTCTTCAGATCTGCTGCATGGAACTGATGAATAGGGTGTGAACAGGGCAAAGTAGGAGGTGTTCACGACCTTCAATTAGGCAAGGCACGTCCATTGAAGTGTCGTTTCATTACGACATCCTGTCTCTTGTAGTCTGATGGCCAGGGTTCCTTTCTATTATGATGAACAACACCCTGAGTACGTTCACCATTAGGTTAGTCTGACCTACCGGTGCTAGATGGTGAAAAGGACAAGTGTCAAGCTTCGGAGGGAAGCCAGGGCAGTTAATGAGAGAACAGAGGCAACAACAGGGCTCCGTTGTGAAGGCTAGGAAGTAGTACAATTCAAACATTCTTTTTCCCGAACGAACCTCCGAGGCTCCAAACTATTTACACAGAATAGTGCAAAGCCAAAGCTATTGCCTTAAAACGCCAGTACCCTTGAGCTGCCCCTGAAGAAGAGCCTCTTGCACACAAGCGACGCAGACCATCAGACTGAGGCGGGAGAGTGGGGGCCGAAGCAGGGGTGCACAAGTCTATTTTGACTGACCAGTAGATCTGTTCTTAGAATAGTTCTCGCGATTTTTCTGAATGATCCAGGTTCCTTAATTATCAATTAAATTTAATTAATCAATTTTCATATTTATTTGCTCTTCCACAAATTGCAGACATTTCCAAATTTGTGCACTGTGCTTGTGTATGCATTGAACCTCGCAAATCCAACCCAACTCAAACGTGCAAGAAGAAAGCATTCACATGAAGGTTCACACAATGCCTGAGAGAGAATGCATGAATCAGCGCCAGATGGATAACCACTCAAAATATGATATTATACAGCTGGAGAGTCAAGTGTCCAGTGCCTGTGGCCGACTGCAACTCAACACAGGTAAGTACATTCCCCCTCCCCTTGATGTTTGACTCTCTCTCTCCCTCTCTCGCCGTTTGGCTGTTCTCTCCCTTCTCTCTCGCTCAAGTCTTATATCGACGCTGAGGACTCGCATCTCAGCTTAGGCCTGATAACTAAGTCACATGGCCCTTATCGCATCACTTGGGCGCCCCGTTGTTCCCGGCCTCTTACCAATCTAAGTGCCCACATCCTACATACTTTGCACTAATCACTCATTCACATATCTTGTTTCATTGCTTGTCTATACACCCCTTAGTCTTTTAGGGGCCCCACCCACACACTCATGGGACTCTGTGGTCCTCTCATTCATCCAACATCCTTGCCGACACCCAATCATTCAGTCCCTTCTTTCATTCAAAGGGAAGCAACATACGACAAAGGCTCATCCATGGGCGAGGGTTACATTCACAACCCATTCCCGCGTCTTCCCTTTTTGCCACCCGGTCTCACGGGGCGCCGTCTTGCACAAAGCACTTTAATGGGTTACTCACCTGCACACTCGATGCAAACAAGCACAACCCCCATTTGGGGTCAACACATAATCTCTCCCGCATGTCTATTTTCTTTTGGTTCCTTCCCCTTATCCATTACTCTTCTCTTGTCTCAGCCACTTTTTTCTGTCATGCATTCAGGGCGTTGGTCGAGTCAACTGACCTTCTTTCATTCAGCAAGTCCTTTCAATCCTCACATCCTTTTCCTCTTGGTGGAGCAAGGGACCGGCAACCCTTCCCTTACTGTTACATGCTGCGCCTGCAACAGGCTGCACGGGCCATTTTCAGCCTGAAAGCCTGAAAACGAGGGCCTACAGGCCCCGTGTCTGTTTCAGCCTGACAGCCTGAAAACCAGGGCCTACAGGCCCCGTGTCTGTTTCAGCCTAATAGCCTGAAAACCCGGGCCTACAGGCCCCGTGTCTGTTTCAGCCTGACAGCCTGAAAACCAGGGCCTACAGGCCCCGTATCTGTTTCAGCCTGACAGCTTGAAAACCAGGGCCTACAGGCCCCATGTCGTTTCAGCCTGACAGCCTGAAAACAAGGGCCTATAGGCCCTCAGGCTTTAGCCAGAAGCTACCTGGAAACTTCCCGGAAGCTTCCTCAGACTTTAGCGAGAAGCTACCTGGAAACTTCGCGGAAGCTTCCTCAGGGTCTAGCACGTTTGGGCATTGGCAAGAGCAGCCTCCTGGACGGGCCAGCACTATATAAGACTGGCCCGCCCTGCAGGCTGCAGGTAGTTGGGAGGTAGCTCTTAGGTACTTCCCAGGCACCTCACGTGCAGGCAGGAGGCAGTCAGTAGTCTTCAGGATTCGGCAGCAGCACTCTGGAGGAGCGCTGCAGGAGTAGTATTAGCACTAGCGGTAGTCTTCAGCGCTGGGCGCTTTGTAGCGTTAGCAGTAGTCTTCAGCGCTGGGCGCCATAGCTAGAGTAGTACTAGAGAGAGAGAGATTGGGCGGAGGCCAGGGATACTTACCTGCAGCGCCGTTGMTCCAGCTTCRTCTTCGAGGTACCTGCAGCACAGTGCCATCTTCACAGGTTAGTACCTGACACATGAGAGAGAGAGTTCTTCTTCTTCCTCTTCTCAGTCCACCATCTCCTTCTCACCCTCCCGCTATCTGACTTCACTGCATCAGCAGACTATGAGAGAGAGAGAGAGAGAGCTTGGTGACATTTGGATCCAGACTCGACATTGGACTTCAGACATATCGAAGAGGGATTATTTGGGATTTGAAACGAGACTTCGTGTTGACGACTTTCCCATCTCCCCCTTCCTCTTCTTCGTCTGTTCCCCTCCTCTTCGTCTGTGTATGTCTGGACCTGGCGCCTCTTTCCTGTGTATAGCACCAGGCTCCTTCACACCTTGGGATGGACATGATGCATGTTTGGTCTGCGTTTAAACATTGATTGGGCTAGTCATTTGCATTCTAGCATTCTGCTTCGCTATCTTGTGTTACGTGAATGAGGTCAGTCCCGGTCAGGTCAGGACTTGTATCTAAAGTCTTCCCTGCGCTATAAAAGCACCATTTTGTATGTATTGGAATGCACATTGCTTGTTGAGATTCTACTTGCACTGCATTGTCCATTCAGTCCTTTTTATCACATTGCGGATCCTTGGTTATTATGTACATCGCCCAACTGGGCATGTAACACTGACCCTCTTTTCTCCAACAAGTGAGATCAAAGTTCTTTCACCGTTTGTTCCTGGCAGTGTGACAAGCGAGCGAGGATGGGTTAGTCGCATGCTGAGATGAAGAAGGGATAAAGGGTGTAGCTTAGACTTAGAAAGTGCAGGTAGAGGAAGAGAGATGGTGGATTGGGGGGGAGGGAGGAGAGAGAGAGAGAGAGAGAGAGAGAGAGAGAGAGAGAGAGAGAGAGAGAGAGAGAGAGAGAGAGAGAGAGAGAGAGAGAGAGAGTCCTTCTATATACAATCCAAGCACCCCCCCCCCCTTTTCCTAACCTATCTCTTTACCTAAGGGTCCCCTTTAGGCTCCACATTTCTATACTCCGCACGATGTCGGAGGGCGTGGTGTCCCTTGTGCGTGGACTGTTTTTCCTTTGTTGTGTATCGAGCGCCTGCTTAGAATCTTCCGCAGTGTACTAGACATACCTTATACGCAGCATGCTCTTGGACCAGTCTGTCTGACGCTCCTACAGCAAAAGGTGGGGGTGCGCCACTGAACTTTCCCTTGGTCCACACGGACTCGGCGCCCTGCTGTACAACAAAGTACAACCGGCCCATGCTCGTGGTAGCCGTCGGGCTCGCCCAAGGACGCGAAGGTGAAAGGTTCGATGCAGTCTTTTCAACAGCGCACCGAGCCTCTCAAGTCGACTTATGGGACGAGTACTCTGACAACGGTCATAATCAAGCAAAAAAAAAGAAGAGAGAAAAATAAGATAGAATAAAATAAAAGAGAAAGCGGAGTGCCAATTTCATCCGCGTTTGACTGGGGCCGCAACTTTGATTTGGATTAATCGGATGACCAACTGTAAGCGGCGACTCAATTTTAAATGATAATTTGTATTCCTTTATTCTAAGTTAATTAATTTTCCTTTAATTTAGTTCCCCTTTTGTCACTTCGCGGGGGAACAAACTGTTTGTTCACTTGGAATTTTAAAGCGGACGGCCTAGACTGGCCGACCTCTCACAAATCGGTTTCATCTAATGAAAGTAACCTGTCGAGCGTCGAGGACAGAACTCTCAAGAGGAGGGTACCCGCGGCCGCATTGGTAGGAAGTTTATCACCCTCCAAGGACGGTCCTAACCCCCCTCCTTACCATTGGACATAGGCCCCTACTACTAGCAGTGTCAACATCGTCTATAAAGGATAAGGCCCGTCGGTCATTATTACGTTATGGGACGATAGCGCGTCGAGCTTATAGTCTTTTCAAGCTAAGATGAAAAGACTGCAGGTATTGATGGAAGAGTGGCGTGTTTGTCCAAGCGACTGTTGGGTTTTACTTCTAATTTGATTTTTCTTGGTAGAGAAAATTATTGTGATCTTTAATTGGGTTAGGATTTCGGAAGTCCTTTCGAGCCCTCGTTTAGAACACAGGGACCATGACTCTCTTGAATTTTATAAAAGGTTAGCTATGAGACCCTATGCTATTTATTAGTGGATGCCCATCACACGGTCTATATGTTGGGATGGTGGTGTTGAGAGGTGAGACGGTTGGAGCGTGGCTGTCTAAGCTTAGCAATTTGGTACCTTGCGCACGCTGTGTGAGTGAGTGAGCAATTA